GACAACACTGTAAAGGATTTCATTTTCTTGAACTTGTATCATTTTGTTTGACATAATTCTCTAATTCACTGTTTTTTAAGCGTAGAGGACGCTAAAAAGTCAGTGATTTTTTTCCTGGTAACTATACTAATGTCAGTTAAAGTCAATAGCAGTTAATAACTCTGTGTGTGTGTGTGTGTGTGTGTGTGCGTGTGCGTGTGTGTGTGTGTATAGAACCATATTATACCATAAATGCCTTCGTGCCTTATGTAATTATAAACAATACGTTAAGCTAGGAATAGGTAGGTACATACTACGATTTATTAAACATTGCCACAAATTGTCAAGAATGTATACCCAAATTATTAATAGAATATTTAAAAAAAATAAAAGATTTTCATCCTATCACTAAAATTAAGCAGCATTGAATACAGATAGTACGTATTTAAATGGGTGGTGACCGCTTGGGAACTCCGTGTATTTTTATAGGCACACTTCTTTTCTTTCTTTCAATTTTATTTTGCTTTCATCAATTGTACATAGTTCACTAATTATTGAGGTAATCTATTTTTTTTATTATTATTACGCATCTAACCACTGATATTAATGTATTACTATAAAAGATGAAAGCAATGGTTCGTGTTACTGGTTCTTGTTATTGCGATCTGAAGGATGGTTTTAGTGAAATACATTAAAAAAGTAGGTTTTTATGAAACAAGTTTTCCTGTATTACTATCATTAAAAGTCAGTAGAATTATTGACTAAATAGAATAGATCAAACATTTAAATAGAAAATTATGACTCCGGGTGTAAAATATCAACCAGAAAAAAAGTCACTAATTGTTAATGCATTCTACGCTGAAACAACGATGAACTGGAGAATTGTATCAAATGAAATAATATTAGTTGGTTAAGTACAATGAAATTCGTTACTATAATTCGTTATTATCAAATTCTATGTCTCCAGATTCCAAAACACGAAATCTAAAACTATTCCATTTTATATAATGTATCTATATACGTATCAGAGTGTGTTGTTTTACGAATTCATCAATAGGTTTCTTCATTCAGACTATTAAAATCTTAAATTTTAAATTATAAGGGATTATTAATATATATTTTAAATATATATTTTAAATATATAATCATTTATACTTCGTTGTTTTTAAAAGTAATTTTTAATTAACTAAATTTTTAATCACTTCTTAAAATTATTTTTAATGACTATTGGCCATTTATTTCATTCCGAATGATCACAGATCGAAGTCAAATTTGATGTTGATACGCCCTTGAGAAATGTGAACATGTCTTAACTGCGACAATTCATCTGCTTGAAAAGTAGACCCTTCAGTTTTACGAAATATACGTAGTAATATATAAAGTAATATATAAAATAAGAAGAAACATTAAGTTTAATACAAATGAGCAATTTGTGGTAAATCAGCCACAAATTAAGGAAGAATAAAGATATATAGTTCTTTCATCACTCTTTTTATGAAACAAAAAAAACTTTGTATCTCATTTCTTCCAAAGCATCGCCGCTTTGCCGCAATTTACCGCAGCCCACTCTACCTATTCGAGTGTTTGGGGTAAACGAAATCACACACATGCAATTCTCAATGAGAATATCCGTATTTATAAATAAATATGCATGATAAATATGTTTGATTCAAGCTAAATGAAGTCTCCGAAGGATAATACGTAAAAAATTAAATACAAATTTCCGGAGAATAACATTACATCATCATGTAATCCTTGTCCACATTTATTTTCTACCTTTGAATTTTCGAATTCAGTAACAAAATATTACAATATCCAAAATAATAACTTGCTTTTTATTTTTTTATTATATCATTCTGCATGATCAGGTGATGAAGGCAATCGAAAAGAGAATAAGAATAAGCAATACAAATATTATTTCAAATTTGTATAAAATCAGAATAAAATATGATAAAATGTATCATTAAATCTTGACAAAATCATTTATGTTTTTCGTTAACTTCCTCACAATGAAAATTATTATGTTCGCCTGACTATAATAGATGTTCCTATAATGTGTTCCTTTAATAAACGTTTCGTTCCGGAAAAAATTTCTTTAGATTAAATGAAAGGAATGATGTGGTTATTCGGGTGATTAAACTTTAATTTTTATGTCCACAAGAATATCAACGAAAGTATAAGATTTCTTGAAAAATCACTTGAAATAATATCAACAAATGTAAAAATGATTAAAGTTTAACTTTTGTGTGTCTAGATTTTCTAATATCAACAAAAGTATAAGAATTGTTGAAAAATCACTTGCAAAAATGATATTAAAAAAAATTCTTTTCATACTCAAAGAATATGCGCCTCGAAATAATGCAATTTTGTTTCGAATATTTTCTTCATCTAACAGAAGTGCAAGAGACATGTTTTCATTTAGAATTATGAAGTATTTCAAGAAATATAAATTTTTTCGATATTGCGTGTTAATGAATTTTTCTGATTTAGAGTAGCACAAAGAAAAAATCGTAGAGATCCATTAAAGCAAAAATTTTGTCAAAAATTGTATTATACAGAAGTTCTTAAACAATGATTATGTTACTAAATTCGCATTCATTCATTATGCGTACATATATGTAAGTTTTCTCGTAATAAAGTGTCACCAAATTCAATTCAATAAATAATTTTCGATACAAAAACGAGAATAATGTCTATTTTTTTATTTTAATTTCTATCACCAACAGTATTGCAGTTACAGACAATATCTCGTCTATGGCAATATTTGCCTAACAGTAAGTCGATACGGATGGATTTTATATGAAAATGGTACATAAATAGATCAGATGAATGAAAAAGTACTGCATTTTATATAAAAATGTTACAGAAGTAGATCAGGAACATGGAAAAGCACTGCAAATGTCTTACAATTATAAACGAGATATATATCCCAATATGTAATGCATTTTGTTCCGCGTATTCTGAATCCCAGGATCCCCTTATCCCCATTTTCATGTCACATCCTATCATATCAGAGGACACAAAATCCCATAACACAGATTACATATATACCCATAAAATAAAATTTCTATTCATATGCCTGGTCTGTAACCTTAGTTAGCTAATCGAAGAATCTGTATATGACAATATTATATGATAATTGAACATAGGTGACTTTCTATGCCTTTAATTAATTCCAAATAGTAAATTAAATTTAGAATAAGTATTTTGTAAATTTTATTTTGTCTGTGAACATTATTACAAGACGTACTTTATAATATTAATAATATTAATAAATTATTTAAAAAAGGAGGAGTTCTGGTCCTTTTGTCGAAATTAAAATCCCACTGGGAACTTGAATGATCACTTGAAAACTCCGTGTGTTACTGACATCCTTTTTTTTAAATTTTTATTTAAACATATTTTATTTATTCTTCTATTTAGTGTACTCGAAATATGTGAGTTACATGTGAATGATACATACATATCTTCATTTATGCAATATTGTAATATGTAGAACTGTGATTGAAAAATATATGAATTAACCAAATAGTACATCACATAATATATTAAATAAATCAAAAAGTATATCCTCCAAACACTTGGGAGGAACTTGACCGTTCTAATGAAACATTTATAAAAAACAGTCTTTATATGAAATCATCAATAATTTCTATGTACTTTAATCAGTCTTGATCCTGCTCGGTATCTTATATTTCATTGCCTTTTTCGAACGCTTGCTGGATAAATAAGTCTCTTTGAAGAATTTACCAAAAAGGATGAAGTAGCTGAAGTATATATGCAGACCGATTATAGCGTTGTGAGGAATGCACAACATGTTCACCAGTTTTTACGTAATTGTAAGCCGTCATAGTAATGAAGCAACTCCAAATCATTTGTGCTATCTGCAGTGTAGTGATCAATACTAAGATCCATTTCGGTACAATGAACTGCATTGCTTTCAAAGAATAATAGGAAAATATATCCATGAGTGAATGAAGTAGTTGTGCTGGCGTATGCTGTAATCTCTATGTAACATGTGTAGTCTCTATGTAATATAACCATGCGTAAAGAAGAACGGATAAATGATGATGCCAGTGTAAGAATAATAATGGCTGCTTTCATAGCGCAGTAAACACCATATCACCGAATGCCACGAGCTTCCATAAGATGAACAACAAGGACCAAAGCCAGAGACGGGATCTTGTGTTAAAAAGCTGGAAAAAAGCGCAATTATGTATTTGCTGTAAATTGCTATGTTTATTGCAGGGGTCGAATTAAACTGTTGATAAAAGTTATTTATCGATATTTTTGCTCTAAGTTGACTTTGTACACTAACATTTTAACTCTGTTGTAAAAGTTCGGTTTTAAAAGTTATTTTACGTACGATTAACAAAAGTTCCGAGAGATCATTTTTGTGTTTATGAAATAAAATATAAAATAAAGTTGTGTATACAAGATGAATCATGCAAATACGTTGTTTTTAATGATATGAAAAAAATTTTGCTAACAAAAATTGTTTGATACAAAGAAGATTAGAATATGATATTGTACGGGCTCGAGGTTGTACAAACGTTCGAATTTCGTATAATAAGCATGGAAGGACTATGTGTTATAGAAAATAATTTTGTTTGCGACAATGGGTTACACACAAGGTTTATTATATTACTCTCTGCCTTTCTTAATTAATAATACTCGTTTGACAATAATAGCGATTAACTTCGATAGTCGTAAACAACACGATGACAGCTTGATAACTTAATAGCAGAAGCTATTATGTACGAATCGCTAACTATTCATTTTCAAATATTCGGAAATTTATCATCTCGGATATTCAGCGGAGGATCACCGCCAGTTATTTCTCAAACAATGACCAAAACAGCATTGCAAGTTAGCATCTGAGACTGACAAAATGTGAACAAGGAACTACAACCTTTCTGGAGCAAAGAAAACGATAATCAGCAATAAAAATTAACGTACAAGTTGTTGTTAAATCCTAAAAGTAGATTAACAAATCTTCTATGTTTATAAAAATTCTTCAATTTTCTCATCGTTCTTGCCGAATAATATGAATTTGATTAGCGATTGAATCATTATAACATTAATTTGTAACATTAATTAATGTTATTAAATTATAACATTAACATTATAACAAATAATATCGGATGGGATTCAAAATTATGTTAACATCACCTCCACCTTTTTAAATGGTATAATTCTTGCTCCATTAGTCGATACAGTTACTTTTTATAAAACAAAGATTCTAGTTTAGGAAATATTTTAACCTTAATTCTGTAAAATCTAACGATCGAGGAGAAATATAGAAAATATTCTTATGCTCGTATTGTATAGTGTTTGATGCATAAATATTATGCAACTAAATTCAAAATATCTACTAAATTCATAATTTTTCAACATATATATGGATTAATACTTTTTTAATGAAAATATTGCGCTGCTTTTATAAAGGTAAGTCGATTAATAATGCAAAAAATATGTCATTCCATTTAAGAAAGTGAAGATAACTTTGAACTCTTAAAAATGGTTGTTGTTTTTCATGACTTTGTCTTTATTTGATATAATGAACCTATTATAAAA